AAACATCTGTGGCTGGGCCTAGAGGCTCCTATTTGTTCAAATGTCACAGGAAAAGTTCTCTACTTCTACTGGGCTATGGCAGAATCTCAGTCTGGGATATAATTAAGAAAGTATAGAAAGCTAAGTTTTCATAAACAGTGGATTAAAATTAACTGAGACCTATATAATGTAGCACCTTATTATATGTTGATTTTGATCTTGATTTAGAAAGGACTAAGGATTTTCTCAGTTGTAAATAAACATCAAAAAATAAAATTTAGCTAGCTTGAAAAAAGAAGAGAAAAATTATTCTTAAAAATTTTGAAACAAATATTTTCTATTATTAATTGTAGATAATGGAGAACAAAGACTTTGTACTGTATGAAATCTGACTCAATGGGCATTCTCTTAGAGAAAAAATAACATGATTTTTAGTTAAAGGACTAGTTGTGGAAGTAACAATATAAAAGGCATTATGGGAATTCTCTGTGACATCATGGGCCTCACAGAGAAGCAGGCAACATAAGAGAACATGAACTTATTGTCTCATAGACAAATTCTACATTGGTTGGTTTGTTTCTGAGTCTCAGATTATTCACACATATATCTGTCAACTGCTACTGCTAGCCTCTTTACCAAGGAAAGATGGAATGTAAGGAATGAGGGCTGGAGAGTAGGGACTCCAGAAAGCCCAAGGAGAATCTAGAAACCAAGGAAGAGAAAAGATGCCTATTGTGGCATGAGAGGTGTTTATCCATTTCGTTGCTTCACCACTTGGAAGTTGTGGTCTTCAAGTTCACTGGGACAATAGAAAGATATTATGGTGGAAACCTATCAGCTCTTAACTACCTCAATCCAGAAGTGCCATATATACCTTCTGCTCATCTATTGGGCATAACTTGTCATATGACCTAACCTGACTACAAGTAAGACTAGGAAATGTAGAGAAGTACATGGACAGTTGGTGAGCCCAATTGTTTCTACCATAAACACCTGACTTATCTGTGCCTATACTTTGACTTCCTTTGCGTCTCTGTGGCCAGGTTTTTTGTTAATCCTCTGAGTTAAGTTGACAATTTCCCAATAATTTCCAACTTTAAAAAGTGAATCAATAGTTGTGGGTGGGAGCACATAGAGAATGGTAGGAGGGGGGGAGGCATGAAAGGGCTGGCTAGGCACCCACAGATGGCAACTGAAGTCCCTGAGAGATATCTCAGCTATGGGGGGTGCCACTGAGAACTCTGGGATCTAACCCCAAAGCTGTGCTCCCCAGCAGAGAGCACCAAACTGAGGAGGTTACCCACATAACATCTAGCTGTGAAAAGCAGTGGGGTGCTGTCTTCTAGGGAGTGGCAGCTGAAAGTTCAGGAACCCTCTTAAAGGGCCAATGCACAAAAATTTCCTGTGGAGCCATCCACCTTGTGCTCTGGCAGAGGGAGGGTGAAGTGGACTGGAGCTGTGAGAGTAGAACCCAGGACCGGGGACTCAGGGGATAGAACTCAGAAGGCAGACACCCCAAGTTTCCTGGGATGAGTCATTCCCTCACACATCAGAGGACATCTTTCCCATATAGACATCTGCCTTGCCTGGAGGGAAGACAGTAAACACACCCTATTGGAAAACACCTGGCCCTGAGGGCACTTAAGAGATTAAAAGTAACAATTAGCCAGGCAGAAGCAACTGCCCCACCTGTTGAAAAAAACTTTCATCACACCTGAGGATGATTGCCTGGGGGCAATTCAAGTCAGAATCCTATTAGTCCAGTGGTCGGCAAACTGGCCCCTTGAGTTTGGCTCTTCCACAAAATACCACGTGCAGGCGCGCACATACAGTGTGACTGAAACTTCGTGGCCCATGCCACGGGGCCAAAGAGCCGAATGTGGCTCGAGAGCCGCAGTTTGGTGACCACTGTATTAGTCTATAGACAGAGGAGATCTCTAGAGGCTTTGAGTCTGTGCCTGATCCAATTAGTCAGAAACAGCCATTAAAACTATCCTGCACTAGAGATTGAGAGGTATAGAAGATCTACCTAAAACATAGTCACAAACCCAAACACACAACCAAAATGAGGAAACAGCCCTGGCCGATTTGGCTCAGTGGATGGAGAGTTGGCCTGCGGACTGAAGGGTCCCGGGTTTGATTCTGGTCAAGAGCACATGCCTGGGAGGCGGGCTTAATCCCAGGGGGTGTGCAGAAGGCAGCCAATCAATGATGCTCTCTTATCATTGATGTTTCTCTCTCTCCCTTTTCCTTCCTCTCTGAAATCAATAAAAATATGTTTTAAAAAAAACATTCAAAATGAGAAAACAAAGAAACAACCCCCAAGTGAAAGAACTAGAAAAAGGGATAAATGTAGCAGAGATAAGAAATTTAGCTGAAACGGAGTTCAGAGTAAGGATGTTAAAAATGCTCAACAGTATGAAAAAAGATATAGTAACTATGAAAAAAGAACAGTCTGAAATAAAGAATGACATAACACAAATAAAGAACACATTGGAAGGAATACACAGCAGATTAGGGGAAGCTGAGGATCGAATCGGTGAGTTAAAGAGAGTTCAAAATACCACTCAGAGATCCAAAAAGAAAGAAAAAACAGGAGACAGCTTAAGAGAGCTGTGGGACTATGTGAAACGTAACAATATTAGAACAGTAGGTGTGCCAGAAGAGGCAGAAAGGGAGAAA